TCTTCTCCTTAGCAAACGACAGTCGTGTAATCAAATTAATTGTTGCTAAAATCAGGACCCATCAGTCAGCAAGAAAGATTTTTCATGGGTACAGATTACACATTTTTCACCATGTGACCTATTGTTTTTGAATTTGTCCCAAGTCTTGCATTTTGTATCAATGTATCGTGATGCTCCAATATGAACAACATGGCGGCAACTGAATTTGATACGGACACTTGTAGCTTCATCACCAAATATTTATTGAGACTAATGGAAGTAATTATGGATATTTTAATATAAGTGAAGATAAAACCTACTTGTATTTAGAAAAGACTAAACAACTTCAGGGACATTGGGGACCCGCACTACAACACTGTTTTGAATACAATGAATGGTGTTGTTCGTTGCCAGACAACTGTCTCAGTCATAATCAGCTGCCAAATAGTCATAACGCTGCGAAAATGAAGACGTGTATGAACAACGACATAAAACAATTACAACATTGGTTCACAGTTACCTGTTCATTTCTTGCAGCAGTTATACCTCGTCTAAAAATTACATTAATCTCATCCGCCATATTTGTATATGTGTGGGGCTGAATCTAAATGGAAAAGGAACAACAGCAAACTAATAGGCTTCTGGTTTCCAATTCAAACCTGCTAAATTACCCGCAGCTTACGGTCCACACCCGCAAAATTAATCTATCACCCGCCCCTGCACTCGTATTAGTATGTCCCTACTTCTGGAGGTGTTCCATTCGCGTGTCTCGGAGGTTTAGCATTCAGCCATGGGTTAAGGTGGCTCCATCCTTTCGCAATTAGCCAGCAGAATTCAATGAAAGTTCCACATAATGGTTATGTCAATATGTAGAGATGATTTTATGAAGATCAAAGCCTTTGGATAAACTGGGGATTTTTAAAATACCGATTTTTGATTTTTTTTGGTCAAATTCAACACTTTCACATTTTTGATTGTGTGGCATTGTTCAAAACTCCGTTCGCGTGTCTCGGAGGTTTATCATTCAGCTATGGGTTAAGGTGGCTCCACCCTTTCGCAATTAGCCAGCAGAATTCAATGAAAGTTCCACATAATGTTTATGTCAATATGTAGAGATGATTTTATGAAGATCAAAGCCTTTGGATAAACTGGGGATTTTTAAAATACCGATTTATTTATTTTTTTGTCAAATTCAACACTTTCACATTTTTGAGTGTGTGGCATTGTTCAAAACTCCGTTCGCTTGTCTCGGAGGTTTAGCATTCAGCTATGGGTTAAGGTGGCTCCACCCTTTCGCAATTAGCCAGCAGAATTCAATGAAAGTTCCACATAATGTTTATGTCAATATGTAGAGATGATTTTATGAAAATCAAAGCCTTCCGATAAACTGGGGATTTTTAAAATACCGAAAAATTGATTTTTTTGTCAAATTCAACACTTTCACATTTTTAGCTCACCTGGTCCAAAGGACCAAGGTGAGCTTATGCCATACCGTGGCGTCCGTCGTCCTTCCGCCCGTCCGTCCGTCAACAATTTCTTTAAACGACTTCTTCTTCTTAACCACTGATTGGAATTCAACTAAATGTAACTGGAAGCATCCCTAGGTGGTGGGGATTCAAAATTGTACAAATGGTTGGGCTGACCCCCAAGGGGGCTGAGGGGCGGGGCAAAAAGGGGGCAATTTGGCTTTATTGCTTAAAGCGACTTCTTCTCTGGAACTAAGAAGTGGATATCAACCATATTTGACTGGAAGCATCCCTAGGTGGTGGGGATTCAAAATTGTACAAATGATGGGGCTGACCCCCCAGGGGGCTGAGGGGCGGGGCAAAAAGGGGTCAATTTGGCTATATTGCTACAAACGACTTCTTCTGTAGAACTATGCCATGGATATCAACCATATTTGACTGGAAGCATCCCTAGGTGGTGGGGATTCAAAATTGTACAAATGGTTGGGCTGACCCCCAAGGGGGCTGAGGGGCGGGGCCAAAAGGAGTCAATTTGGCTATATTGCTTTAAGCGACTTCTTCTCTGGAAATAAGAAGTCGATGTCAACCATATTTAATTGGAAGCATCCCTAAGTGTCAGGGATTCAAAATTGTATAAATAATGGAGCTGACCCCCCAGGGGGCTGAGAGGTGGGGCAAAAAGGGGTCAATTTTGCAATATTGCTATAAGCAACTTCTTCTCTGGAACTAAGAGGTGGATTTCAACCATATTTGACTGGAAGCATCCCTAGGTGGTGGGGATTCATACAAATGGTGGGGCTGAGGGCGGGGCCAAAAAGGGGGCAATTTGGCTATATTGCTATAAACGACTTCTACTGTAGAACTATGCCATGGATATCAATCATATTTGGTCGGAAGCATTCATTGGAGGCAGGGGTTCAAAATTATACAAATGGTGGGGCTAAGGGGTGGGGCCAAAAAAAGTGTATTACTTGGAAATGGTTGAGATCCCCACCATATAACCATGGTATACAATTGCTGAGTATAAAGAGATGATTGCACATATGCTTCCAGGATGGCCTTGGGGACTGCCCCACCCTTGGAGACTTAACCCCTGGGTCTTAACTTCGAAATGGTTGAGATCCCGACCCCAAAACTATATATACAAATGCTGGGCAAAAAGAGACAAATGCAGTCACGATATTAGAATTGATCCTGGGGTCTGGCCACAACCCTAGGGACCTAGTTTCTGAGTCAAAGTTTGGAAACAGTTGAGATCCCCACCCCATAGCCATACATAAAATTGCTGGGCATGAAGAATCTAATACATGCACAGATATGCTACAAGGATTGGCCTTGGGGTCTGGCATATTCCCTTGTTCTCATTCGAAGAATATCTTGCCATGATTGCTTTGGTATCCAGGTGAGCGATACAGGCCCTCTGGGCCTCTTGTTGAGTGTGTGGCATTGTTCAAAACTATTACAAAAATAAATTAATGAAAAGAAACATTGCTAATAAACCCTACAAATATTTTATTTATCATAAAATATCTACAACAAAAAGCGTTTTTTATTGAAATGGTATGGATAAAAGTTACTAAATACAAGCTAAAAGCAAACAGGACAAAAAGTTTCATACAAAAAGAGTGAAAATGGAACCAAACACTCACAAAGTCTTTATAATTCATTTATTTTACTTTTTACAATAATTTTGATCGTGATGAGAGTTGTCTACCTTGAAAAAAATGGGAACTTTTTGCAGAGGGATAGAATATATACAATGACACTTACTTTCTTTACTATATAAAAAACGACGGAAACGAATTGAATAACTATATTTAATTGTCAATTTACTGTTCTTTTATGGAACAAAATTGCTCTCAATCATGTTACACTTTGGACATCATTCCATAGCCCGCTTACGCATGGTATATTTACATGTCAGGTACATATGTAAGGGCATAGGCTATTGCATGGTATGCCGTTATCATGTGCACGCAATGCACTTGCAATTTATAGGATCTTGATATTTTACAAACCACTATTTGTGAAACGATTTATCTGACAGAGCGTAACTCGCTGGACAACAAATGTAGCGACCAAGAGTTTGTGAACTACTGTTAGCACGTGATATGTACAGGTGAGGTCGGTAAACAAAACACATCAGTCTGCATTCCATGCGCCTCATATACGACCTTCTTGAAGTCGTCTGATCTCATGTCAGTGTCTTCCCGTGAGTTCATTAATGTCACGTGTGATTATACACATTTTCAAGTTAAGTCTCGATATCATCGTCACGCATGTGTACTATTGTTTACACGGTGTTACTATAATTTACACTACGGTAATGGAATGCCCGATGCGCAATATGGAAATGACGACACGAAAATACGACAAGAAAAACATGTGTAAGGGTGGAAAGTCCTTAAGTCTGCACACTATTTGAAATGTTTTCCGCAATGGCAGTCTCTCTTCTGGGAAGCCAGGCAAGTTTGAAAGGTGAGTACTGTTTACTATTACAACAGTACATATAATCTTGATGGTAGTACTTTTGATTTCACATGCACTCCCATTATCTCGACAACGTTCAATGTTAGAAAAAAGAATAAGTATGCCTGCTATTATAATATTTCGTGGTAAAAGGATTTTGAGTGGCTTCATAAAAATGTTGAGCCCTATCAGTCTTAATGTAAACTGTATACATTAATGTTTTCAGCAGGTTCGGTTGCTCTTTATAACATCAAAAAGACATACAATTAGCGATTTCCACAAAGTCTGAGGACAACGTTGTAAACGCAAATTCTTTATTTAGTAACTTCAACTCTAAGGATACTGCAGATCATGATCGTTTTACCAAAATCTGCATGAAAACGCTTACAGATAGCGATTGCGAGATTGGTGAAAAATGTACATGCAATCTTACAAATTTGAGTGTAACCAGATATTATGCCAATGCAAATACCTGTATTTAACAGAAATGCATATATTTTTTTTCCAGTTTCCAACCTGGCAGTCAGATTCCTGATGTTGTACATAAAGATGAGAGGGAGAATTTGACAGAAGAGCTTCTGTATTAGTTTTTGCTTCCAGTATACCTCAATGATGAAAGATGCCAAGTTTTCTACAGTTAACTCAAACTACCTGTATGTACAGGGAAATTAGTATTTTGAAAAGACAGAATGTAATAAAACGAGATGTGTGAAAAGATTTGTTTTATTTATTAAAAAAAAAAGTATTCCTAAATCATACTAGAAGACACAACATATGTTATGCTGTGACAACACAAAAATATAAATTTTGACATGAACATTTTGTCACACAATATCACCCCACACAGAATGTCCCATGACCCCCATTGGGAGATTCAGGGGTTAGCAGGTATGTCATTCGGTTCATAGTCAGACATGATTCCCAAAAATTGACTTTTATGTTTATTTTCTTTATAGGTATTATGCAAATAACACTGTTGTGTAGCAAACAAAATTTAATTTTCTAAAATTTTAATTGAGCTGAATCTTGGCAGAATTGTAATCTTTTTTCAACATAGTTTCACCGAACATTCTATCTGTTTTACAGATTATGTATGAGGAGGTGGAGAAACTCGACAAGGAGATAGCTGATACAAAGAGGCCGATAGCTTTTGACCACTGTAGAAGAGGTGCTCTCTTAAGAAAGGTGGGTGTTGGAAACAGCTTTGACCACTGTACAGGGGGGATTAGGTATTGGTAGAAAGGTGGGTGTTGGAAACAGCTTTGACCACTGTACAGGGGGGATTAGGTATTGGTAGAAAGGTGGGTGTTGGAAACAGCTTTGACCACTGTACAGGGGGGATTAGGTATTGGTAGAAAGGTGGGTGTTGGAAACAGCTTTGACCACTGTACAGGGGGGATTAGGTATTGGTAGAAAGGTGGGTGTTGGAAACAGCTTTGACCACTGTACAGGGGGGATTAGGTATTGGTAGAAAGGTGGGTGTTGGAAACAGCTTTGACCACTGTACAGGGGGGATTAGGTATTGGTAGAAAGGTGGGTGTTGGAAACAGCTTTGACCACTGTACAGGGGGGATTAGGTATTGGTAGAAAGGTGGGTGTTGGAAACAGCTTTGACCACTGTACAGGGGGGATTAGGTATTGGTAGAAAGGTGGGTGTTGGAAACAGCTTTGACCACTGTACAGGGGGGATTAGGTATTGGTAGAAAGGTGGGTGTTGTACATATTTTTTTATCAATGTCAACACTACTTAAGGGAATGCTCTAAGGAAGAGGAGGATGGCATGCACACACTTTATCAAGAACAGTCAGATATTCTGCTCTAAGTGTAGATTGCAACTTGTAGGATCACTTGTAACTGTTATAAACTTGTAGGATCACTTGTAACTGTTATAAACTTGTATTGGTGATGCATTTGATAAGTGATAGTTTCCTACTGTTGTATGCTTCCTTGCACTTTATATCTGTGATTTGTATGAGTTATTTTCCATAAAGATATATGGTACACATTAACCTTTAGTTTGTATCAGAGTTATCACCCTTAAATGTTGATAAGCATTATGAAATCGTTAGAATTACTTCAGTCAATTGCACTATTGACCTGTCATAAACAAATCATACTTTCTTCTTAGTAAAAACTCTTTTTGATTGGAAAGATAAATCCTTTAATATAGTATTAGCATAAACCCTTAACAAATAAAAGTATACTGTAACAGAACCAAGTTGATCAGCACACATTTTAACTTTTTGAATGTATGTTTAAATCATATTCCGATGCAACTGGAAGGAAAAATAAAGGGTATTCAGGGTTTTAAAGAATGGTTTCAGTTTCACATACCGGTACTTTTGAAAAATGATATCACAGCCAAGGAAATTTCAAACTTTTTCCTTATGACTTTAACTTTTCAGCTGTAAAGATTGATTCTCTATAATTGTATAAATACCAGCATTATGTATTTTCCTTAATATAGCTTGGTATGGTGAAGAGAGCAGAGGAAGATCTTGATAAGTAAGTATAACCTTGTACACAGAGTCATAGGAGACTAGGGGATATTCACGTATTACCGACATCACGTATTACCGGACACTCTTGAATAAAATTAAATTGTGTATGGTTGTCTGATCTCTTCGGTTTATTCATGAATACAATAAAGCGTTTTACAAACACCGATTACATTTGGGAACGCCCCGATGCTAATTTTAGAACAATGGCTATACTAATACTTACCAAAATAACGGAGGGTTTCCGGAATTTTATTATCACGTGATCCGAATGTTTGCTGCAGCGGCAATTTCAAGGTGACTGGTAGATTTGGGACTTGCGAATTCAGGAGCCACTAATGTAAGTTATCTTTGACATACAGATATGAAAATAGCTACATCATTTAAAGATATAATTGTCTAGGCTTTAATATATAAACATTTATTGAAAATAATTAGGGAAATGCATAATAAATGCAAAAATACAACTGTCCGGTAATACATGGTTGTTGTTACTGGGAGTCACATCATACCGGACAGTGGCAAAAGTTAGTTTGTCATAGCAGGCTTTATTTCTTTTTCTCTCTATGAGTAGAATTTTGTGTTCTTGTAAATAAAGTAAAGTGAGAAATAATAAAAACAAAATGTTTCAGTATTTTCTTTATCGCAGAATCGAAGACAATCTGACACTGATCCATATATATAATCCGGACTAAATGTCTAGTATAGACGTTTATAAACATGGACATTTTCTCATGATGTTAATTTACAAATACATCAGTTTATTCAGTATTCCGTAAGGCTCTATTATTATAAAAAATATATTGTGTTGACTGAAGAGCAGCCTAATGAAATAATGTTCTGGGAGGGTAAAAACGCAGAAAAAGTGTATACAATACAACAGGGATGATGTACAGAGGGCAGTCGATGCAGTCAGGTCCAGATGAATGTCGGTCAGGAAAGCAGCGGCAATGTTCTCTGTACCGAAATCCACTGTAGCTGATAGGGTTAATCAGCGATATGGGTCTGACCCTCGGCTGGGCCAACCACCTGCCTTGCCGGACACCATTGAAAACAAAATTGTGGATACAGTGAAGGCTGCAGCAAAGCAGGGGATAGGCATATCAAGGCGGCAGCTACTGACAAGAACCGGCGACCACTGTCGAAGGTACCAAGTTACACCCTTTAAGAATGTCGCTCCCTCCAACCAGTGGTGGGCAGGGGTTAAGAAGCGTCACCCCGAGCTCTTTATTCGCCGTCCAGAAAAACTTGCAGCATCAAGAGCTCGGATGTTGAATCCAACTGTTGTCAGCAAATATATGCCGTCTCTTGGGGAATTAATTGCATCACTCAACCTTAATAATAAACCCCAATCAATTTGGAAGTGCGACGAGACAGGTCGTAGCTTTGAGCATTCGCCAGTTCGGGTCATAGGCGAAAAATCTTCGAAAAATGTTGTCATTCGTACTGGGAACAATAGGACAAATGTCTCCATAATGGCGTGTGTGAATGCGGCAGGCAGGTCCATGTCCGCTATATTCGTTGTGAAGGGAAAGACAAACACATCCTTCAGCCCCTTGATAGGTCCGTCTTCGGACCGTTTAGTACAGCCTACAATACTGCGTGTTCTGACTTTCTTGGTCAAAATCCACTCAACACAGTTACAAAATGGAGTTTTCCTGGGTTAGTTAAGACTGCATGGGATACTTCGTTCACACACAAGAACATTGTGAACGGGTTTAGGGTGTGTGGAGTATTCCCATTCAACCCCACAGCTATCTCACAGGAGTCCTTCGCCCCAACACAGCCAACAGATCGTCCAACATCTACGGTAACATCCGATCAAATTTCATTGTCTCCCCGTATTCCTCTCTCAACCTCTCTGGAAGCGTCTACAGATGCTGCTGTGCCTTTAGAAACCAGTGTACAACAGCAGAGCGTTCATTACCGGTAATACCGTGTATCCCTCTCTGTATCTCTTCTGAAGCGTCTACTGTTGCTGCTGTACCTACGACCATAACATCTCGGATATCAGTTGGCCTAACAACCCAGTATCCCCCTTGCCCACGAAGAATCGGTTGCTACATTTACGGTAGACACTGCCCAACCCACGATACCATCAGTTAATGGACAAGTTCCACTACCATTTGAGTCATTGCCAGACATAGATCACCCAGAACTGTTGATCAGCTTACTAAGCAGTGATCAATTGGAACTTGGTATGAACTCCGACAGCGTTAGGAACAATGACATAGAAAATTTGTTTTTGCCTCCAAAACCATGTGCGAAAAGTACAAGCAAAGTCACCCAGAGGAAAAGAAACACTTCAAACAGACTGCTGACAAGTGATGAAGTCATGGAATAGAAAAGGGAAATAAAAGTGAAAAAGGAACAGAAAGAAGAGATGAAGAAAGGGCATTAAAGAGATAATTTAAAACCCCACTAAAAACGGAAAAATAACTGTTTGATTTGATTATGTTCTATACGTCCTAGACAGCATTGATTCACAGTAATCTGATCATTAGACTGTAAATCAAGTGCTAACAAGCATTTGCGAGGTACTTAAGTATAAACATCTCCATAAACTACAGATGTAATTTGTAGACGCATGTTGTCAATTGATTTACAGTTTAAATATCAGATTTATGTGATTGATTCTCATGACCCTGTGTTTTTGGTCACCGAGTAATCAACTGAAAAATTACAAATACAAACATAGTTCCACAGTTCCACACATGCCACTCTCATACATATGAAGGGAAATTACTCTTACTCAAACTATAAGTATTATACAATTAAACCCTATTCTTAAAATATACTTATTTTCACTGGTACAGTGACATTAATCAATAACATATACAATTCTTTTTTTAATCTCAATCATATTTTACTAACATTATTGACTGGTTACCTCCAATGTCCCTGAAATATTAACATGGCTATTACATAACAAAAAATACAGTAATTGCCTTTAAATTATTAAATAATAATGATAATTCCTTTACCTTACATTTACTGTATAAAAGGTACTTTTACAAAAACTTATAAAACCCTAAAACTTTAGAATGACTTACCTCTAATGCTTGTGCTACTAGTGCACCGACACTCGGGTATTCTGATCTCACCATGTGTCCTATTTGATTGGCCAGTCACGGACCAATCAAATGTCTCCCTGTCTGTCAGGTGTCATCACACGCATACTTAATTAAAGGTGCATTCCCATTCATGTCCATGACAATGGTTCTAAGTTCTGTAAAATCAACCTACTGAGGGACCCCTTGAGATGACGTAGAGGTCACGTGGTCCAGTGCTTAGAGAGTTTTTGGTTCAGACAGATGTGTTTTCTTATTCATATAACAAATTACTTTTTCATCGTTATTTAAATATTTCGTAGCTTCGTTTTATTCTACACAAGATAGACTGTTGTTCAAGGACTTATTCCCTACGATTTGGACCGTGCTACCAACACGTGGTTGCGATACGAGGTTTGTTTACATTCCTTTGTTCGGGTCACTGACTCTGTGCAAACGGCCACATTTTTATCATGGTATTTTTCTGGTAGACTCTATTCTGAAATTGAAAAACAATGTTATTTTTAAGAGAATGTTGTAATTTTGAATAAAGTAATATCAATTTGAAATGTATTGCAAAACGATCATAATCACATATTGTGGTCTATTTCTACAAAATAAAAATGTGTCCGGTAATAGATGACTGGTGTCCGGATATATGTTGCCTATGCCATTCCGACTTTGTTTCTTTTATTAGAATGTTAAACGCCTCTCCAATCAAAACCATCGTTATTTTCAGCACTCCAAAGTATTCTCTTTGTAGTCGGCAAACGTGCCGTAGTGTTATCGCTGTTGGGATATGACCATGTGACAAAAACTATCGTAGGTATGAAAAAGTATCCGGTAATACGTGAATATCCCCTATGTTATAGCTATCATTTCAGTAATATACCCTCCTCAATACTCCTGGGGATATGCTCACTTTCGCTCTCTGCATCCCTGAATATGTCATGGCAAAATTGAAGGCACACAGCTAGCTATTCGATTCGATTCGTAGCATCTCGGGTAAAATAAAATCTTGACAAATCCTAGGCTGATATCTGTCCGTTGAAGATTACTAAGAAGAGACACAAAACTTCAAAGCCAGACAATTCTATCATTATGCATGCTGCTGGATTCCTAGACGAGGCCACATTTCTGAAAAACCATCATATTAAAATGAAAAAGACATTTTTTTGTAGAAATTGGTAACACATCTATTATCAAAGGTTCAAACTAACATTTTTAGCTCACCTGCCCAAAGAGCTGGTGGGCTTATGTCATGGCGCTGCATCTGTTATCTGTCTGTCTGTCCAGTGTCTGTCGTCCAGCATCCATCAATTTTCCTTTTCACGACTTCTTCTGAAGAATGGGAAGGCCTACAGTCATGATATTTGGCTGATAGCTTCCTTGGTAAGAGCAAGACGAAGTTGAGAAAATATGACCTTCACTAACATACTGGGGTCAAATATGTCAAAAACTTTAAACGACTTCTGAAGAAGAACTGAAAGGTATAGAATCTTAATATCTTGAAAGAAGGAATACCTTGAAAGAAGGTCGGGGACCTTTTAAGGTCACTGGGGACAAATATGGCAAAAACTGCAAATGATTTCTTTTGAAGAACTAAAAGGCACAGAGTCATGATATTTGGACAAGTAAGTTTCTTGGAGTTGAACAAAGTTTGCCAATAAAAATGGCCTTGACCTACTTTCAAGTTCACAGGGATCAAATCTGTAAACATCTTTAATTACTTTTTCTGAATAACCAAAAGACTCCTCAGAGTGATAATATTTGTCTATCAATTGTGTTCAAATGAACAGCCTATCCTAATATTCAAAATCACAGACGGCTATCTTGGATTTTGACAGTGAATGTTTGTTATCGCTATTTCTCAGGAAGTCTTGGATGGACCTTTCTCAATTTTAATATGTAGGTTCCCCTTGGTTTTCAGTTGTGCATGTTTACTTTTGAGACTGATCTGATGAACAAAATGGCCAACAGGTGGCCATCTTGGATTTTGACAGTGAATATTTGTTATCGCTATTTCCCAGGAAGTTCTGGAGGAATCTTTCTCAAATTTGATAGGTAGGTTCCCCTTGAGAGTGATCATAAAAACAAGATGGCCACAGGAAGTACTAATGAGATCTTTCTGATATTGTAATGATTGGATCTATTTCTCTTACATTTAAAGAACTGTACTGGACATTTAAAGAACTGTACTAGTAAATACATGAAATGGTGCATTTACTGTTTACCTGACTTGATCAAACGGATAGGAGAAAAGAAGAGAAAAGATCAAACTCACATAATAAACCAATGAAGATGGTACAATGTTGGGCGCCAAGATCCCTCTGGGATCTTTTGTTTGTCATGACATATTCCAGGGGTGCCACGAGCATAATTGAGTGTAATCCCTGGAGTATTTAGGATTGGAATATATCATACAAAACTCACAGTTTATTATAAGATAAGGACGTTGAGAACATTTTCATCAATGCATGGGGAGTATGTCAGAATGTGGTTATCATTGGATTTCTAGCTTGTGTATGAAATTTAAAAAAAATAACTGTTTCCCCTGATTGTAATCTTTTTGAAAAATATAAAAGATACAGGTCTTACCCTTAAGTTCACATTACAGACCTTTTGTTAATACATGTATTAGAATCATGGGAAGGGAAAATATCAATTATATACTTGCCATCTTTTTGAAATTTGCATGGGCGAGATTACGGTGCTCAGAAATAAAAGGTTTGTATATAGTATACGCCCTAGATGTTTTCAGATGAAATTATCAGTTCTAAGAAAATAGGACTAGTTTAGCAAATTCATTGGTTGAAAAGGCTAAATCTTAGGGTCCAAAATAGGGAGAGTTTGCAAGTATGCAATTATTGATCAGAGATGTTAACTCCCTTTCAATTCCTGTTGCTGACACATGTATACTGTTTGTACTTTCTCAGAGCAATACGTTTGGAACCCAGTTTGCTGGATGCATACTGGCACCGCCATCTACTGTTTTTGCTACAAGACAAGAAAAAGGAGGCACTAGATGACCTCACATTTATCCTCAAACACAGCAAGAACCATTCTGGGGCCTATCGATCCATGTAAGTCACCTAGTCCAACTCACAGATCTAGCTTTGACTAAATAGGTCAACACTACCATACTATTCCCCATAATACATTGAACCATGCTGTTTTATGGTTGCTGTTCATTTTGTGAGAGAACATGTCATCAATATATATCTAAATGTTTAAATCTGATGAATCTTTGTTTTGGGAAAGAAGTTGTATAACTAGTTAAGGAGAGCCAGCTACTTCTGCAGATGTCAGTTAAGTCCCAGTTGTTAGCACTATACAAAAAGTCAATTTGTGAAAGCAAGAATTATTTGTAGGTCATGATTTACTATTCATTATTATGACTAAGATTTGTTTTCCTTAACTCTAAAAGGCAGTTTGGAAGTTGACATTTTAATCAATACAGTTTCGGAATATAGGCAATCAAAAACTGAGTTGATTAAAATGTCAACTCCTGTGAATCATAAGTCCTAGGGAATATATTGTGGAAATCAAAACTTCTTAAACAAATTATTGTTAGAAAAAGACAACATGGATGGCCAGGATCACACTGGCAATAATAATGGATTGGTACTTTACAAAGGAAGTTTTGTCATTACTGACGATATTGCCTGCTGAAGTTAATTATACCGTTTTTTAATATCTACATTTACAGGGCAGAGATTTACCGTAAACAAGGGGAGATAACCATGGCAGTGATAAATTTCACACAGGCGGTCAAGCTTAATCCACTGGACCATGAGGCCTACTACCAGAGAGCGCTTATGTATGAAAAGGTCAGAACAAAACCAAGACTAATGGAATTCCCCTGTATGTTTAGCTCTCTGATCAGGGAGGAAATAGCAAGGAAACTGGGGGGAGCAAAACATACTCAAGCAGCAAGTTGTTTTACATAATTTTCAAAACCAGTTTCATTTTCTAAATGGGTTTCATAGAATATTAGCTGTGTTTAGACAAGTACCATGCTGTAGCAGTGTTGTTCTGGTAACTTAACCCTAGTGATGCTATACCCGCCTTTTGGCATTCCACTGGTCGAGTGCTATACCCACCTTTTGGCGTTCCACAGAAGATATGGGAATCCCCATTTCCTAAATGATAATTTATGCATTAAATAGAAAAGATATTGATATGCAATTTATATCAATAAATATCTTAATATTTCATTCTTTTGTATGTCAAAGATGAAAATCAAACTCTGTGTCGTTTTGGAAAACGATCGATACATTCTTGGAAAGCACACATTTGGCTGGATATCCGATATTTTAGGGCCTATTTTTAGTGACGTCACCGGAAACGTAACATTTTTTTTGCGTGGTAAAATGCTCCGAGGCACATGTTTATCTGACAGGTGCTCTGGTTCAGGTACGGAATTGTAGGATACTTTTAGGCGTTTACGTGTATTTTCAATGTCAAGAAGTAATTTTTTACCATAATTCATATTTAATTGTTACAGTTTAACATACTTAAAATATAAAAATAGATGTTTTCAGTAGATAATTCGCCAAACCCTATCACTTGATATTTATAAACAAGTAACTGATTGGTTTGAGCTCTTTAATCGAATTTTGCATGAACTGATCAATAAAATAAACTAGTTACTATTGAAGGGAGTAGTTGTTTTGTTAAGCAGCAGTGGCTAATTAGACAATACCTCAATGTTACCTTGTTTTTGATTGGTTGTAGAGAGGAGACATGCTATTGGCTCTTGAGGATCTGTCTAAGGCAAAGAAGATCATGCCAACAAGAACTGATGCTATTCTAAAACATGGTCTCTACTATTTTGAGATTGGGTAAGATTTCTTGGCAATGATTTTATCTTGGAATAAAAATGCTTGCACATGTACAGGTCCAATACAAGCTAACCATGATGTTCCTCCACCTACCAGAACACAGAGCTAAAATGTGTTCATACGCCCTAAAGTTGACCAAGACTGGTAGTTTTCTAACATATCTTGACAGAAATAATTCATATGATACAAATATGAAAACAAAATTAATATAATTCTGTTTTGATCTCATTTCTGATGGAATTAAATGTCACTGAGTTTTGAGGTAAAAGTTAAAACATCATCGTCATTGAAAATCATACACTTTTTTATGCTACTGCCCCAATGTTAATATGTTAGATTTGCTTTCTACTTGGTAGGAACTGGACAAATGCGATTCAGGACTTCACCGATTTGCTGAAAGTTGATCCACTGGATGCCTCAGCAAGAACATATCGGGGCCGAGCATATGCCAAGATGCAGCAATGGACGCCAGCTGTCCAGGACTTATCTGCAGCCATCCACCTCGATCCTCTCAGCTGGCAGGCTTTTTACCACCGAGCCTGTATCCTTAGAAAGTATGTCTGTTTGTAGTTTGATGTGAACATATGATAATGGAGCCACTCGAGTGTTATTATGCTGTGACTCTAAAAACCCTCACACTATTGGTGTAGAATAAACAGTAACACAGATAACAGAAAAATTAAAAATCAGTATGAAAACAGTGGTTTAAATAGAATAATTCAGCTACTTGGAAATACTGAAATACAGTGTGATAATCTATAATTCTCAGGAAGTACTATCTCAAATTTGATATGAATGTTCACTTTTGAGACTGATCAGATAAACAATATAGCTGACAGGCAGCCATCTTGGATTTTGACAGGTAAGGTTTGTTAATCGCTATTTCTCAAGAAGTACTGGAGGTATCTATTTCAAATTTGATATGAATGTTCCCCTTGGTCCCTTGCTGTGCATGTTCACTTTTGAGACCAATCACATAAACGATATAGTCGATTAGCAGCCATCTGAGATTCTGAGATCTTAGTCTGTAGATGTGCATGTTTACTTTTGAGACTAATGAGATAAAAAGAATGGCCGACTGGTGGCTATCTTGGATTTTGACAGTCAACGTTTGTTTTTGCTGTTTCTCAAAAAGGTGGATCTTTTCAAATTTGCTATGTAGGTTTCCCTTGGTCCTTAATTGTGCATGTTTACTTTTGAGACTGATGGAACAAACAAAATGGTTGACAGGCAGATAGTTTGGGTTTTGACAGTTAGAGATTTTTATTACTAACTCTCAGAAAATATTGGCGGCATCTTTCTCAAATTTGATATGTTGGTTTTCCGTGGTCTTTAGTGGTGCATGGTGTATTTTGAGATGGCTGCATGAAGAACTTAACAGATCATTCATATATTGCAATGATCATTTCTATTTCTTTCACATTAAGTACTGTACTAGTATATATATCAAAGGCCAAACTCACTTTGAAGTTTGTCTTTGATATAAAGCAGTATGAAGTTTAGATCAAAAGTTACCAAAGGTGCATTTACTGTTTACATGATATGATCAAACAGAAAAAGATTGAGTTGACATAAAACGAATGAAGATGGTTCGATCCTTAAGAAAACATGCTTTCTTACAGTGACGTCCACCTCCGCCCTAAAATAGCCCCAAAAGACAAAACCTGTTCATGATCTTTTACAAACGTTCACTTGGATTTACTTACAAAGCATTAAAAAAATACCTGAAGATGCATTTAAAAGATGCACAATAACTTATAATAGTTGTTCAATAGTAATAGTAGGTTAAGAAAATACTAATATATAGAAAAACAAAAAATGCTCTATGTACAGTATAAGGTAGTTGTGACTGTAAAGATCAATCAGCATGAGAGAACATTAGACAATACATTACCCCACAACACCATCTCATAACCCCACAACACCATCTCATAACCCAACAACACCATCACATAACCCAACAACACCATCTCATATCCCCACAACACTATCTCATAACCCCACAACACTATCTCGGCATGAGAGAACATTAGACAATACATTACCCCACAACACCATCTCATAACTCCACAACACCATATCATAACCCAACAACAACAAGTCATAACCCCACAACACAATTTCATAACCCAACAACACCATAACATAACCCAACAACACCATCTCATAGCCCCACAACACTATCTCAGCATGAGAGAACATAAGACAATACGTTACCCCACAACACCTTCACATAACCCCACAACACCATCTCATAGCTCTGGAAAATTTGTATGTGGGAAATGTTTCCCAAACCTAGACTTGTGAAAGAAAGTACGAACAACATCAAGTCATAACCCCACAAAACCATCTCATAACCCCACAACATCAACTCATAACCCCACAACACCATATCATAACCCAACACCAACAAGTCATAACCCCACAACATCATCTCATATCCCCACAACACCATATCATAACCCAACACCAACAAGTCATAACCCCACAACACAATTTCATAACCCAACAACACCATCACATAACCCATCAACACCATCTCATAACCCCACAACACTATCTCATAACCCCACAACACTATCTCATAACCCCACAACACCATATCATAACCCAACACCAACAAGTCATAACCCCACAACACAATTTCATAACCCAACAACACCATCACATAACCCATCAACACCATCTCATAACCCCACAACACTATCTCGGCATGAGAGAACATTAGACAATACATTACCCCACAACACCATCTCATAACACATAAACACCATCTCATAACCCAACAACATCAAGTCATAACCCCACAAAACCATCTCATAACCCCACAACATCAACTCATAACCCCACAACACCATATCATAACCCAACAACAACAAGTGATAACCCCACAACATCATCTCATAACACCACAACACCATCTCATAACACATAAACACCATCTCATAACACCACAACACCATCTCATAACACATAAACACCATCTCATAACCCAACAACCCCATCTCATAACCCAACAACACCATCTCATAACCCAACAATATCAATTCATAACCCCACAACACCATCTCATCACCCCACAACACCATCTCATAACACATAAACACCATCTCATAACCCAACAACAACAAGTCATAACCCCACAACACAATTTCATAACCCAACAACACCATCACATAACCCATCAACACCATCTCATAACCCCACAACATCAACTCATAACCCCACAACACCATATCATAACCCAACAACAACAAGACATAACCCCACAACATCATCTCATAACCCCACAACACCATCTCATAACACATAAACACCATCTCATAACACAACAACACCATCTCGAAACCCAAAAACACCATCTCACAACCCCACAACACTATATCATAACCCTACAACACCATCTCATAACTCCACAACACCATCTCATAACCCCACAACACCATCTCATAACTCCACAACACCATCTCATAACCCCACAACACCATCTCATAGCCCCACAACACCATCTCATAACTCCACAGCACCATATCATAACCCCACAACACTATTTCATAACCCCACAACACCATCTCATAACCCCACACCACCATCTCATAACCCCACAACACCATCTCATAACCCGACAAAACCATCTCATAACCCCACAACACCATCTCATAACCCCACAACACCATCTCATAGCCCCACAACACCATCTCATAACCCCACAACACTATATCATAACCCTACAACACCATCTCATAACCCCACAACACCATCTCATAGCTCTGGAAAATTTGTATGTGGGAAATGTTTCCCAAACCTAGACTTGTGAAAGAAAGTACGTAGTTATATCTTTCTTTCTTATTTTAAAGATAAGTGAGCACATATCTATTTTACAACAAAGTGAAAGAAATTCATTGGTTCAAAAGTTTACTGAAACATGTTGATGTAAAGAACCTTAATTGTTTCAGAGCTCATCCTAAACGTGCTCTCCATGACTATAGTGTTTCTCTCCTCATCAACGACACAGATGATAATGTCATGTCCTACCTTCATCGAGGGATCCTGTATGATACCATGGGCAAGTGAGTAACTTTTCAAGTCTAATGCTAAACCATTCACTGTCAAACACTTCATGATAGACTGCTATTGTTGGTCAAAATGTCTATCATCTTTTTGTGAATAAAGGAATCAAAGTTCTTTTTTTATACAAAAAGTAAATTCAGTGGTTAAACAATATAAAGTGCTTTCTTTACAGGAATCTAACTGTTTTTTTCGGTGAAAGCCGGGGATATTAATTTTGGTTTGTCTGTCTGTCTGTCTGTCACGCTTTGTTTCCGTGCAATAACTACAACAAATATTATCCAATTTTCTTCAAACTTTGTCAAAAGGTTAAATGCCTTAAGGGCTCGGCCAAGTACGATGACCACTTTCAGCGGACTTTATTTGGCGGAGTTATGGCCCCTTGAATAATGAAAAACATCATTATCTGCCGTTTCTGTTCATTAACTTTCGCAAATATTATCTGATTGTCTTCAAACTTAGTAACAGGGTTCAATGTTGTGTTCCTCTGTCTTTCCACCCATCTTTGGTGTTCGTGTGATAATTGCTATAGATATTGTTAAGATGTTTCAACCAAATTCCTTATGCACATCCAACTCATGGTAAGTTTGCCAACCAATGTGATTTGTGCATATTTATGGAAAATCAATGAGGTATAGGTTGTTGTTTTTTTCTTCAAGTTTCAAACTATACATTATGTCTCAACAGCACGATACTCGCATGTTTAAACCTAACCTCAATAATGTTAACCTACAATATGTCCTGCAAGCGGGGGATATAAATTCCACGAATTTGCTTATTTCAAATTATGATGGGTTTTAATTTTGCACAGCATCATACACAATGTATAGTCCAAAGTACCTTTACATAAGAAAAGTCTCATTTCTTTAGGCTGGACCACAGTAGGTCTGCACCTATTGTTATCCTAGATTTGCTGGCAGTCGATCATCTGCCAAATCCTGTCCAATATTGGCTGAATGTTTTTACTATGCCCCCCTATGATTTAGTTCCAGACTACTGCCAGATTTCAAAATTATATCCTATGTGTATTAAAATCAATATAAAATAAAACAATATTTGACAGAATTCTGACAACAGGATAAGGTTAGATATTCCTCACATTATCAAGAATGGAATTTAATTAGTATAACTAACCAAGTGGATTGTACCAGTTGTGTTTATCAGTTACGGTAAACGTCAGGTCAGTCCAAACAGGCAGATAATTCAAACACTCTTTTCAAAAAAAATAAAAAAAATAGTGACAGTTCGAACCCTCCACAGTCACATTTCAGATTGTCCAAAAACAAAATTGAGTGCTGAAACAATGGAACCATTGATCAATTTTAGCAACAGGCAGTGCAATACTTAATAGCATCAAGAAACTCGCTCAAACTGATCTATTTGTAGTTTTATTATGTACATTGACAGCATTTAATAACAGAGCAACGGGGCAGTACTCGTGATATGTGACCAAGCATTTAATAACTGAGCAACGGGGCAGTACTCGTGATATGTGACCAAGCATTTAATAACTGAGCAACAGGGCAGTACTCGTGATATGTGACCAAGCATTTAATAACTGAGCAACAGGGCAGTACTCGTGATATGTGACCAAGCATTTAATAACTGAGCAACAGGGCAGTACTCGTGATATGTGACCAAGCATTTAATAACTGAGCAACAGGGCAGTACTCGTGATATGTGACCAAGCATTTAATAACTGAGCAACAGGGCAGTACTCGTGATATGTGACCAAGCATTTAATAACTGAGCAACAGGGCAGTACTCGTGATATGTGACCAAGCATTTAATAACTGAGCAACAGGGCAGTACTCGTGATATGTGACCAAGCATTTAATAACTGAGCAACAGGGCAGTACTCGTGATATGTGACCAAGCATTTAATAACTGAGCAACAGGGCAGTACTCGTGATATGTGACCAAGCATTTAATAACTGAGCAACAGGGCAGTACTCGTGATATGTGACCAAGCATTTAATAACTGAGCAACAGGGCAGTACTCGTGATATGTGACCAAGCATTTAATAACTGAGCAACAGGGCAGTACTCGTGATATGTGACCAAGCATTTAATAACTGAGCAACAGGGCAGTACTCGTGATATGTGACCAAGCATTTAATAACTGAGCAACAGGGCAGTACTCGTGATATGTGACCAAGCATTTAATAACTGAGCAACAGGGCAGTACTCGTGATATGTGACCAAGCATTTAATAACTGAGCAACAGGGCAGTACTCGTGATATGTGACCAAGCATTTAATAACTGAGCAACAGGGCAGTACTCGTGATATGTGACCAAGCATTTAATAACTGAGCAACAGGGCAGTACTCGTGATATGTGACCAAGCATTTAATAACTGAGCAACAGGGCAGTACTCGTGATATGTGACCAAGCATTTAATAACTGAGCAACAGGGCAGTACTCGTGATATGTGACCAAGCATTTAATAACTGAGCAACAGGGCAGTACTCGTGATATGTGACCAAGCATTTAATAACTGAGCAACAGGGCAGTACTCGTGATATGTGACCAAGCATTTAATAACTGAGCAACAGGGCAGTACTCGTGATATGTGACCAAGCATTTAATAACTGAGCAACAGGGCAGTACTCGTGATATGTGACCAAGCATTTAATAACTGAGCAACAGGGCAGTACTCGTGATATGTGACCAAGCATTTAATAACTGAGCAACAGGGCAGTACTCGTGATATGTGACCAAGCATTTAATAACTGAGCAACAGGGCAGTACTCGTGATATGTGACCAAGCATTTAATAACTGAGCAACAGGGCAGTACTCGTGATATGTGACCAAGCATTTAATAACTGAGCAACAGGGCAGTACTCGTGATATGTGACCAAGCATTTAATAACTGAGCAACAGGGCAGTACTCGTGATATGTGACCAAGCATTTAATAACTGAGCAACAGGGCAGTACTCGTGATATGTGACCAAGCATTTAATAACTGAGCAACAGGGCAGTACTCGTGATATGTGACCGAGCATTTAATAACTGAGCAATGGGCAGTACTCGTGAAGCATGTAATAACTGAGCAACGGGCAGTACTCGTGATATGTGACCAAGCATTTAATAACTGAGCAACAGGGCAGTACTCGTGATATGTGACCGAGCATTTAATAACTGAGCAATGGGCAGTACTCGTGATATGTGACCAAGCATTTAATAACTGAGCGCAATGGGCAGTACTCGTGATGTATGGGTGACATGTATAGTATATAGGTTTGATGTATGGGTGACATGTATAGTATATAGGTTTAGATGTATGGGTGACTTGTATAGTATATAGGTTTAGATGTATTGGTGACAGGTATAGTATATAGGTTTAGATGTATGGGTGACATGTATAGTATATAGGTTTAGATGTATGGGTGACATGTATATTATATAGGTTTAGATGTAGGGGTGACATGTATAGTATATAGGTTTAGATGTATGGTCGACATGTATAGTATATAGGTTTAGATGTATGGGTGACATGCAACTTGGGTTTCACTGATTTCTGTGGTTAGATTAATGGTAGTGTGAAACGAGTTCATTGAATCCAAGAAGGAGGTGAGGTTCTCTTGTGAATGGGTCTAAATGAAAAACACATCATCAATGTATCTCCACCATACTATCGGTGTTTTCGGACAAGTTGATAAAAATCTCCTTTCCCAATGATCCATGAATATTAGGCGCCATTTTTGTGCCCATCGCTGTGCCCTGTGTTTGTAAGTAAAACTCTTCATTGAAACGAAAGCAGTTGTTGGTTAGGATATAAGTGCCATCATTCTAAGAATGATCCATGTGTTTGGAGTTGTTTCTTCCCTATTGTCTAATTGTACTTTGGCCGCCCGTATGCCTTCCGTGTGTGGTATAGATGTGTAAAGTGATGATACATCAGCGGTACATAATAAACTACCCTTTGGTAATTGTCCTAATTCCTGGATTTTCTTTAAGAAATCTGTGGTGTCTTTAAGATAAGAATCTGTGTGGCTAGCAAATGATTTCAAGTGGTGATCCACAAATTCCGATAGTTTTTCTGTGCAACTACCTATGTGAGATACTATAGGTCTGCCTTGATGTCCTTGTTTGTGTATTTTCGGTAGTAGATAGAAGATTGATATTCTGATATTCTTTGGTTTTAGGTATTAAATGGTTGTTTCAGGTAACCCGTTCAGTTTTTTTTTTACAAAGTTCAGGAATGATTCTACTTCTAAACCTATTTTCTTGTTGAGATCTGTGATCTGAAATTAGTGGAAATAGCAATAGAACACGGGACAACGATCAACAGAAACAGCAGGATTATGGCTAATCACATACTTGCATGAAGGGCTACCAAGTTTGTTCAAATGAATGACCTTGATATATATTCCTTTGTTTGCAATATTTTCCTTCCAGACATGAGGATGCTATTCCAGACTTTGAGAGTGTCCTGAAACTGAACAAAGACATCGCCTGTGCCCATGTAAACCTTGGTCTTATCTTCATGAACCACTACGATAACTACCACAGGTGGGTTCAGAACATTTAATTTTACAAAATCACAATTTACTTTTCTATGTCACTATATTTGTATTGAACAGTTGCAAATATTTGCAAGAATTAAAAAAACAATTTATTTGACAACTCCGATTCATTCATGAATGTAACTGAGAACATTAAGGATAAGATAAACAATTAACCTCATTTACACAGTTCATACAAATTTCTTAAACTTTCATACCTTCTGAAAATAGAAAATCAATGACAAGATGTGTATTACCCAAATTGTCTGTTATTTTGTTTTGTCATTTATACCAGGGCAATCAAGAAGTTTTCTTCTGGCATCAAGGTGGATCCTACCTATGTGAGAGCCTACGTTTGCCGAGGAGAAGCCTACCACAAAATACATGAGGTTTGTGTATTTTAAATATTTTCAAGGAAGCATGGTAGGTTATAGTTGCAAAATTTCATTAACAAGATATCAAAAATTATTTTTTTCCAAAATGTATTTTCATCAGACATTTTTTGGAAACCCTCACCAGTTTTAAAGGAAAAAATTGCCGGACGCCGGACGCTGCGCCATGCAGTTTTATATAAACGGAGGGTATGGTCCCCCTGGGTCCCCCAAATAGGGGGAAAATAGGTAAAAGGGTTAAAAATCTACTTCTTCTCAACCAATAGAAGGATTTTGACCAAATTTGTTCAAGAGCATCTTTGGACAAAGGAGCCTCAAGTTTGTATAAACAGAGGTTGTTGCCCCTCTGGGGGCTGTGGGGCTGGGCCCAATAGGGGAAATAGGGGATTTTTTTCCTCCTACTATACAAGAGAAGGGATTTAAACCAAATGCAGTCTGAAGCACGCTTAGGGACAAAGGAATCAATTTTGTATAAACTGAGGTGTGTGGGCCGCCTTTTTTGGGGCAGAAGGGTGGGGCCCATTAGGGGAAATAGAAGAAAACATTAAAGATCCTTTTACTTTTGTACCGATGAAGGGATTTTGACCAAATTTGTTCTAGAACATGTTTGGACAAAGGAGCCTCAAGTTTGTATAAACGGAGTGTGTGGCCCCTCTGAGGCGGGGGGTGTGGCCCAATAGGGGAAATAAAGGAATTGTTTTCTCCCACTATACAAGTGAAGGGATTTAAACCAAATGCAGTCCGAAGCATGCTTAGGGACAAAAAAATAAATTTTGTATAGCCCCCCACCCAGGGACAGAGGAGTATGGTAGCAGTATACAGTAGAGGGTTGTGGCCAATTTGGGTGATACTTTTGTTAAATGGCTAACCCCTGTATAATGATATGTAAAAAAAATATAAAAATAAAACTGTACTAAAATTGTTATAAACATGATGAAGTGGGCTATGTGAGCTTCACATTTGTAAAAAAAAAAAGGAGATTTTTTTGGTTCCAGAACACAATTTTGGCCATAATCCGAAAGGGTGCGTACACATGAAAAGTTAACTTTACAGGAGGTAAAATTTTGACAACAGCACATGACGCAAAATTGCAAAAAATGAAGTTTTACAACTTAACTGGGACCCAGATAATTCTGCAACCAGGTGGGTAATCTTTAATTTCAGACAGAACTTAGGATCAAAATTACTAGTTGTGGGGGTCAAATTTTGGGTCAAAAATAGCAATTTTTGTCATTTTTTGATAATTTTTGACGTGGTAACCATGGTTTTCACACAAGTGACATACATAGAAAAAAGAGGTTTATACACTTCTCAGTACTTTATATGTATTGTAAATGTAATGCAGTTTACAAATATATATACATGTATACATGTGTTGTGTAGGGTAAATCCGCTGTGTTTACATTTCGTCGACATGTGCCTAAATTGTTTATCAGAGTTGGGCCATTTCTGCTGTATACTGCTACCTATAGGGGAAATAGAGAAAAATATTTTCCCTTCTGTACAAATGAAGGGATTTAAACCAAATGTGGTCTTAAGCATGCTTAGGGGAAAAAAACTCAATTTGTTGAATTTGTATAAAAATGTGCATGTGATGCCCAAATAAAGCTTATGTATATAAGCTTAGTTTAAACTGACAAATCTAATTAATGTTTTATTTATGAGTACATGCATGTACACATAACGAATAGTTCGATAAACATCAGAAGGGCCCTTCGTGTGTTTACGTTTTTGATATGCATAAGCAGGGCCAGGTCATCCTGCAATTTGATTGGTCGAGAAATTCTAAGCGTCAGTGTTCAGCAGGCAGTTTCAGCAACAATTTGGAGATAGATATTTTCTGTGATTAATTGGAATTTTATACCATATCACCTACAATTTTCTTGAACTTTATATACTTTTCGCGGACACTAAACACAAGGAAACACCGTTTGCACTCTAAAGCAGGAGTTTGGCGGCGTGATGATTCCGTGGACCAAGTAAAGTTGTGTTTACTTTTTCCCTCGCGGGAATTTTCTAGTCAAACATGGCGTCAGTGAGAAAATCGAAACGTAGTACTCGCAATACCCCTTGGGATGCGGAAAACCCCAAAAACTGGACAGTTCAAAGACTAAAAAGTGAATTAGAGAAAATGAACATTTACGGCAGTACCGGTTTGTCAAAAACAGCGTTACGTACTTTGTATCAAGAGAATGTTGCACGACGAAGTGAAGTGAGTGGTACTAGTAGGCCTGCTGAGCAAGATCGAGACAGTTCACAAAGTGAAACAGACATTATGGAAGATGTTTTAAACGTCACTGGGACACAGGCGACCCCTACCCATGTTTGATTTCTCTAATGTTGCCGTAACACGAACAGAGGTACTGCGTGATGATGCGGAAGGATCCGCGCACACTCTATCTATGGGTGAACAGGCCTGCAGCCTTACCCAGGAATCACTTCCGCGGAGGAATTCCAACATGGCGGCGCCCAGTGCGGAAAATACGAACTCAATTCAGCAGCTTCAAAAGACTGTGATTGAGCTTCAGCAATCTATGATTGCGATGATGGGTAACCAGTCTCGACAAAAAGACCCACCTAGCCAACGATTTACTCTGTCAACAGCAAATGAGGCCCTGAGGAACGCCGAACATCCGACAGACGGTTTTACAAGTGCTAGCGCCAGTACAGGTGGGTACCACTTACCTATATCGCAATTCGGGGTACCTTCGGAATGCATACCACATGTGGATGTGGTTTCCGAGTCTATACAAAAGAGGATATGGGAGGGAAGAGATGTTAACCTAGCAAGCCTTCTTATCCCTCGCTTCGAAACGGGTCCTAAGGTCGGCGACAGGTCTGACGGGATTCACATTACATTGAATGAAGTGGAGGACCCTCGGTTAAACAAAAATTTGAACATTGCCGAATTAATTACGGCTTTTGGGAAGTACAGGCGCGTCCTGTGTACGAAATTTCCAGAGAGACGGACAGAATTAGACAGGTACGAAGCCAACATTATAGAGGTTTCAAACATTTATGGCTCTCGTTTCTATGACTATCATTGTCAATTTTTTGCACGCGCAGCAACGGCCCTGCGGGACAACAACATCAAGGTGGATTGGGCAGTTAAAGACAATGGCCTCTTAAACATGGTTGTGTGCAACACAAAGGCGAACACATTCCAGCTATGTGCGTTAACTACACATACCACTGCTTTCTGCCCACAACAGCGCCACAAGACAAAACAACAGATAGGAGCGGGGAAAAACGATGCGAACGTAGACCCCCATGGTAGACAGAAGGTTAAATTTAATGGCCAGGAAATTTGTAATAACTTTAATAATGGAAAGTGTTATAGGGGAGAAGCGTGTTTCTTTGCCCACGTGTGTGCTATGTGCCATTCAAATAGCCATGGGTCCACGGCATGCAAAAAGAACAAACCAGCAGCACAATGACAGTCACATGTTCCCACCATGGCCTCTACGCCCATCAACATCCAGCGATTGAAGACAGAACTTAATAACCATCCCAACAGAGTGTTTGTAAACTATTTATTGTATGGTCTTCAACATGGCTTCGATACTATGGTGGCAACCACGTCTCTGCCAACTAAGGAATGTAAAAATTTACAGTCTGCAAAGAACAATGCGGATACAGTCGACTCTCTGATAGAAACTGAGGTACAGAAAGGGTTTTTATGTGGACCTTATCTAGATATACCTTTTGAACAATATAGAGTGAGTCCTTTAGGGGTCGCAATAGGAAAATTCTCGGGGAAACCACTGCTAATAGTCGACTTGTCATCCCCACATGAGGACAGTGAACATCCATCTATAAATAATTTAATTGACAAGGAACAATGCTCTCTTAGTTATGTTAAAATAGATGATGCTGTAGCACTAATTCAGTCCCTTAGAGTACATACTACTATGTGTAAAACCGACATTTCAGATGCATTCAAACTGATACCAATCCATCCAAGTCAGTGGCACCTGTATTGTATTCGCTGGAGGGAAAAGTATTACTTTTACAATAGATTGGCTTTCGGCTGCAGATCAAGCCTAAAGATTTTCGACACCCTATCAGAAGCAATTTGTTGGATTGCGCAGGAGAATTATGGGATTAAACACATATTTCATCTGCTCGACGATTTTATTACCTTTAATTGAACATTCAAACAACTGTGGGGAAAGAAACATGGCCTTGTTGTACCTGATATTTGATAGACTCAATATACTTATGGCCAGACATAAAACATGTGGACCGGAAACCGTCATAGATTATTTGGGGATCATTTTAGACTCTGACAGGATGGAAGCACGGTTACCAGAGGACAAACGTAGTAGGATCACAGATTTCCTGAGGAATTTTCAATCCAGAGAGTCGTGTACGAAAAGAGAAATGTTACAACTGCTCGGACACTTGAATTTTGCCAGCAGGGTGGTAATTCCAGGGAGGTCATTTGTATCTCACTTGATTAAACGATCTACAACCGTGAAAGCTTTACATCACCATATAAAGATCAACAATGACTGTAGAGAGGATATTCGGATGTGGTTACAGTTCTTGAGGCAATGGAATGGTGTGTCCATGTCCTACAACACTAAAGTTACCACAACGGACGACCTATGCCTATATACAGATGCCTCAGGAACTCGTGGTTTTGGTGGATTTTTTCAACATGAATGGTTTGCCCAGCCATGGCCTACAGAGTTACAAAATGTCATTGAAACCAATGACGAGCTATCCATAGCATTCAAGGAATTGTATCCGATAGTCGTTGCAGCCATATTGTGGGGACATAAATGGGTAGGACAAAGGATTGTGTTTATGTGTGACAACTCAGCTACAGTCGCTATCCTCCAGAAAGGCAGATCTAAAGCTGCTCACATTATGCCCCTGGTCAGACGCCTAACACTGTGTGCTGCTACTTATAACTTTTCTGTGTTGTCAAAGCATGAACCAGGTAAACTTAATGTCATTGCTGATTCTCTATCTCGATTGCAGATGGAAAAATTCAGAAGACTCGCGCCAACAGCCCGTCAGCACCCGTGGGTGGTGCCAGACCCCGCCCATGTCTTGTGGACCTCCAACCAGTCATCAAGGACCTGTGGAGTGCAGCTATAGCCCCCAGTACCAGAACTACCTATCACACAGGTTTTAACTTTTTCGTTAGATTCCTTTTAATGTCGGGGATCATTGCCAGCGCTGGTGTGTTCGACATACAGGTCACTGAAGACCTACTGATATACTTTGCGCACATTGTTTCAATAGCAAACTGTCTCATGCTACAGTTAAATTATACTTGTGCGGTGTACGTTTTATGTGTCTACAGTGGAATATCTCGTATCCAGTTGGAATTGACTTGCCGCGTTTGTTTTCAGTGTTAAACGGTATTAAACGGCTCCAACACAATAATCCAAGACCACGCCACCCAGTGACATTCAATATCTTGAGGCAAGTGTGTGGTTTCCTTAGGGAAAAGAAGGACAGACCGTTTGATGATGTGATGTTAGAGACTGTATGCATAGTGCCTTTTTTTTGGATTTCTAAGGTGTGGAGAGTTTACGATTAAAAATAATTTTGATTCAACCATACACTTGTGTGTGAACGATCTAGTTATTCTGCAGGACAGTATAGTGTTAACACTAAAGACTTCTAAAACTGATCCTTTCAGGAAAGGCGTGGCTATTAAACTGTTTAAAAATGATAACTCTATTTGTCCATACAAGGCATGTTGCCAGTATATATCTGCAAGACAAAAACAGTCACCCTCACCCTTGGACCCTTTGTTTGTGAACCATTTTGGGTCAGCACTATCACGTAATACTTTTATTGCTATGTTCAAACACGTGTTAAAATGTGTGGGTATTAATCCTGATACGTATAACGGGCATTCTTTTCGGATCGGAGCAGCAACTACTGCTGCCACAGCTCATGTCGAGGATCATATGATCAAAGTATTAGGCAGATGGGCTTCAAATGCCTATTGCAGATACATTTGAACACCACAGGCCTCTATCAGAGAGGCCCAGAGAGCGATGGTCAAAGATTGATTTCTCAAATATTTCAATAGCGAACTTTGCTGGTACTATTGTGAGTGTGTACAAATGTATATATAGATCAGCCATACATTTGTAAGTGTACTTTCATGTTTTACTTAACCTATTTGTGTATGTAAGTTGTGCTTACATTATACTTTGTTATTCAACCTAATACATTTTGGGGCACTCAGTTAAACTCCCATATCATTTAACTGAGTTTTGGCATATCCATTCAAAATTATTTGTTTTCATTTAATAATGTCTCATTTTTCATCCCCAAAATTCTTAACTAAGAGTTTTAAGTTTGAGCTATTTGCAACCTAATTCTCATAAGCTAGTGTATCACACAACTAGATACAATGAGCGTGGGAATTGGGGACAATTTTACAAAACATAATTATTGTAAACCTCATTCGGACTTACTAAAGCTCATCAAGCTGCAACGAAATGAGGTTTATGAACAAGTTTAATATTTACATATTTATGCCAATTCATTTTCACAATACATAATATTATTCCTTATTCGGACCTGGTAGCTCAGCAAGCTGCACCGAGATGAGGAATAGTATGACAATTAACTAATGCCAAAACTAAATTACATTTATAACCATATTAAGCCTATTCCCCATCCAGACCTGGTAGCTTATCAAGCTACACTGAGATGGGGAATAGAATACATGTAGTGCAGGCATTCTCCTCTTCCGGTTTACCGCTACGCCAAGTACCGCTCCATTCGCCTTGCAGTATCACATCCTGTCTGGTATACACGGTCCGCTAGCTGATTGGTTGAGGAGTCAATAGCTTCACAGTTTGTGAACATTCAATTTTACCTGACACACTCAGGTGAAGGAATGTTCACCATGCATACATGTTTTAGTACATAGTAACTGAGTTGCCCCTTTTTGCCAAATTTTTGTTTATTGTGTTTTAATATATATATGTTCGTATTTTATTTTGTGTTGTGTAGATGGAGATTGAATTTGAAATGTTTGTAATAAATATGTAGTTAAATGTCACTTTTATCTTCTAGTCATTTGTTCAGTTTAAATAGGGGAAATAGAGGAAAATTGGGACATAACATGGAATCTCATTTTCTTGGTGTCTTTCCCACCAAAACAGATTTATATGTAGTTCTTCTTGCAACTTTGTTTATTGTACTCCTTTGATAAACCTGTATGGTACTTCTACCGTAAGGATAAAGGGATTTTATCTTAATTTACTCTGGAGCATCCTTTGGCCAAGGGGACTCAATTTTGTATAAACCCTGGTTCTGACCCCTGCGGGGGCAGAGGGGCAGGGCCCAATATGGGAAATAAAGGTAAAACTTTTAAAATCCTTCTTTTACCGTAGGGATTAAGGGAGTTTATCCTAATTTAATCTGGAGGATCCGTGGGCCAAGGGAACTCAATTTTGTATAAATGGTTGGTGTGGCTCCCCTGGGGGCAGAGGGGTGGGGCCCAATAGGGGAAATAGAGGTTAAACCTTTAAAATCCTTCTTCTACCTTAGGGATTAAGGGATTTTATCCTATTTTAGTCTGGAGCATCCTTCGGCCAAGGGGACTCAATTTGTATAAATAGTGGGTTTGGCCCCCCTGGGGTCAGAGGGGCGGGGCCCAATAGGTGAAACATAGCAAATTCTTCAAAATTCTCCTTTTCCTTGGATTTTTGTCCAATTGCAAATAAATATAACCCCTGACTAACCATGTAATACATGTACACTACCAGCAACATCTACTTTTTCCAACTTCAATTGGCTAACATTTCCAGGTGAGCGATACAGGCCCTTTTGGCCTCTTGTTATAATTGTTGTAATTTAAAAAAAAAAATGTATTGGATGTTATTTCAGGTTTTACAGTACATTGATTTTGTTTTTCCATGATATCCCTGTGATCAGTTGAAGCTGGCCTTAAGAGACTTCACCAGAGCCATCCATCTGAGACCAGATGTACACCATTACTACATGTATCGTGTAGGTACTAATAAGTTTTAATACAGCTGTCTTGATGCACTTTAATCACCATTCAATATGCCACAATTTGATTGTTCCATTTCGTTTCGTTTCCGTGCAATAACTACAACAAATATTAACCAATTTTCTTAAAACTTTGTCAAAGGGTTAAATGCCTTAAGGGCTCACCCAAGCTCGATGACCACTTCCAGTGGACCTCATTTGGTGGAGTGATGGCCCCTTGAATAACGAAAAAACGTCATTATCTGCTGCGTTTCGTTTCCGTGCAATAACTACAACAAATGTTAACTGATTTTCTTCAAACTTTGTCAAAGGGTTAAATGCCTTCAGGGCTCGTCCAAAAAAACGTCATTATTTGCATTTTCCGCTTGATAACTCTAGCAAATATTGGCCAAAATCCTTCAAACTTGATAACGATGTTTGTGTTCCTCGGTCTTTCCACCCATCTCGGGCACTTTTTGGTGTTCGCTTGATAAATGCTGTAGATATTGTTCAGATGTTTCAATAAAATTCCGTATGCACATCCGACTCATGCTTAGTTTGCCAACCGATGTGATTTGTGCATATTTACGATTAATCAATGAGGTATAGGGCTTTTTTAAAGTTTCAAGCTAAACATTATGTCTCAACAGCACGATACTCACATGTTTAAACCTAACCTCAATAATGTTAACCTACAATATGTCCTGCAATGAGGGATATAAATTCTACGAATTTGCTTGTTTCGATAAAGTTTGGATCACAATCTTTTCCTCGTGTAACCTGAATTCTAATTGAAATATTACTGCACTTGTCTTTGCATGTCCAATGTTCCCTGTCTTTGATTTCATTTTCATTTTGTTGCTTTTGTTAACTTTTTCACTGGCAGTAATCAGTAATAGACAATCAAAAACACTGAAACTTACACTGAAATGGCACAAACTGACTTATCAGAAATCTGGAAAAATGTATTGTAAATCCAATTGAATGCAAATAATTCCAGTACAACTGCATTACAGGTATTAGTCCTACAAAAATAAAAACTGCATGGAATATAAGTTATCAACATACAGTACATTGTAATGTAGGTACTAGATGTATGATTAAATACAAAAGAGCTCAGTTCATTGAAATCTATCAATAGTTATTGCCAGTGGGCAGGACAAATTTATTTAGTTAGATAAGTTCTTATTTTGATGAAATATTTGATACAGTAAATCTAAAACAATTTTCTGGATCTACAGTAAAATTTGCTACATTATTGTGTTACCTCACCAACTGTCTATCAACGAACGTGGTCAGGTACTTTGCTATATAGCTGAGAAATCCCTTCCTCTGCCAAAAACATAAACCCTAAATAATTAATTACATATGGAAGATTTTTACTGCATGATTAAAATATTATTTTAGATCTCATCATTTTTTTTAGTCCTTTTACTAAATCATATGATGATAAATGTAGGTTTGTGTAAATAAGTATCGCTTTTTTCTCCACAGGGACAACTTGTGCTGGAGATGGGCAATCTGGACCTGGCAGCCTTCTGTGTTAGGTAAGTGGAAACTGAAAGAAGATATTCTGATGCTAGTGTCAGTGCTTATTATAGGTAAATCAGAGGCTTAAATATCCAGTTAGGTAAAACCACTGTAAAATGAAAGTACACCTGCCAACTAGGTAAAACTATTGTTAAGTGAAAGTACACCTGTCAACAAGGTAAAACTACTGTAAAGGAAAGTACATCTGTCTTCTAAGGAAAACTACTGTAAAGTGAAAAATATATGCCAACTAAATAAAGCTACTGTAAAAAATGAAAGTGTACCTACAGAAAAGAATATAAGATGATAGATTCTGAAAATGTTTTTATGAGGTAATGATTTTTTGCAGCTGAGAAGCATATTGTATAACTTTTTATTTGAAACAAGCCAAAAAGCAATAACAAATTTGTAATGTTGTCCCACATAAACCATGTAATTTCGCTTGACACATGTGTAAATATTTTTCTTGGCACATATGTATACCCTGAAGTGTTTCATCTTACATTTGTAACGTTCTTCACATTATCATCTGTGGGTCAAGGTCACAAGACAAAGAATAAGTTACTTTAGATTTATCTCTGTTTTTTTTTGTTTTTTTTTTTTGTTTTTTTTTTTATTATTAATCCTGGAAATGCATTTGACACAATCAAGAATCTAATTGTATTAATTTTTCAAAAAGAAAAAAAAAGAAAAAAAGAAATAATTGGAATTAACAATAACAGTCTTATTTTTAAATATTTATTTTTTTTATTGAATTATGATAACAGACAATATTAATATTTGAACAAAATAATTAAAATTTGTTNCCCTTCAGTCTGGTTATATCAATGGTGGATCAAGAGAGGCTATTATGGATTCCAACCCAACCCCCAAGCTTCTCCGACCTGACGATTTTCAAAAAAATATTTCAATTTGGAATAAATACACAAAATTTGGAAACACTTTCAGAATTATGAGTTCCTGGATGTTTCGATTCTTAAGTGTGATGACCCTCCAGAGACGATGAAATGTGACCTTGACCCATTAAGGTTGGGGTCATCCTTTGTTTATTGTTTGTATATCATTTTGTTGTTTGAACTATGACCTTAGATTCTTCATGCGACTGCAGGAGTCAGAATATGGGTACGGTGAACACTTGGTTTCTATGACAACTCATTGTTTGTTGTATTATATAATGACTAATGTGCTTTGTCAATATTCTGCATCTTACCTCTTCTGAAAATTAAGGAACAAATATTATTCTCAATTTTGCCATGATTTTTCAGTCACTCTCATGTTAAAAAATTGGTGTTGAATTATTTTGTTCAGGTATCTGTAAAATAATTTGAAATGGCTATGCCAGAAATTGTCAAGTGAGGATTATGGAGAAAATGTGTATTCCTAAAAATAGTTCTGTCATTTTGTTTGAGGTCTTGCACAACCATATGCTAATGACAATAGGTCACTACAAGAGTTAAATCCCATTGTTGTCAGTAAATTTAAACAAGCTACCTATAGCTATAGTGCACCAAGAAACTGGATGAAATTTATTTTGCCTGTGTTATATTTCAATATTTGGGCATATTTTATGTTAGAAGTTTTATTGATCTGGCACTTATTTGTACTAGTATGACCTTGATATATACAGGATTTAGTATAGGACTTTATCTGGAGGCAAGATACAAAAACGACACATGAAAGAACAGTAACATCTACAATATGAAATTAACAAGGATATTGCAATATAAATAATTAAACTAGTGTGGGTTTTTTAAAGATGTACTGATCAAATAACCGCTTTTTTATTAGCTCACCTGGCACAAAGTGCCAAGTGAGCTTATGCCGTGGCGCGGCGTCCGGCGTCCATACAGCGTCTGGCGTCAATATTTTACTTTAAACGACTTCTTCTTAATAACCAAAATGCCTAGGGTGATGATATTTGGCCAGTAGCAAACTGGGATAAAGGGCTACAAAGTTTGATAAAATTAATGACCTTCACTCATTTTCAAGGTCACAGGGGTCAAATATGTTAAAAACATTGAACAACTTCTTCTGTATAACTAAAAGGCACAGGGTGATGATATTTGGCCAGTAGCATGCTTGGGTGAAGGGCTACCAAGTTTGTTCAAATTAATGACCTTCACCCATTTTCAAGGTCACAGGGGTCAAATATGTTAAAAAGGGTGATGATATTTGGCCAGTAGCAAACTGGGATAAAGGGCTACAAAGTTTGATAAAATTAATGACCTTCAATCATTTTCAAGGTCACAGGGGTCAAATATGTTAAAAAGGGTGATGATATTTGGCCAGTAGCAAACTGGGATAAAGGGCTACAAAGTTTTATAAAATTAATGACCTTCACTCATTTTCAAGGTCACAGGAGTCAAATATGTTAAAAACATTGAACAACTTCTTCTGTATAACTAAAAGGCACAGGGTGATGATATTTGGCCAGTAGCATGCTAAGATGAAGGGCTACAAAGTTTGTTCAAATGAATGACCTTCACCCATATTCAAGGTCACAGGGGTCAAATATGTTAAAAACTTTAAACAACTTCTTCTCAATAACCAAAATGCCCAGGATGATGATATTTGGCCAGGAGCATGCTGGGGTAAAGGGCTATCAAGTTTGGTCAAATGAATGACCTCCACCTATATTCAAGGTCACAGGGGTCAATTGTCTTAAAAAACCTTTAAGTTGACTTCTTCTGAATAACTAAAATGCCCAGGGTGATGATATTTGGCCAGTAACAGGCTGGGGTAAAGGGCTATCAAGTTTGTTCAAATGAATGCCCTTCAATTATATTCAAGGTCACAGGGGTCAATTGTCTTAAAAAACCTTTAAACATCTTCTTCTCGATAACTAAACTGCCCAGGGAGATGATATTTGGCCATTAGCATGCTTGGGATGAAGGGCTACCAAGCTTGTTCAAATGAATGACCTCCGCCTATATTCAAGGTCACAGGGGTCAATTGTCTTAAAAAACCTTTAAGTTGACTTCTTCTGAATAACTAAAATGCCCAGGGTGATGATATATGGCCAGTAGCATGCTGGGGTAAAGGGCTATCAAGTTTGTTCAAATGAATGACCTCCACCTATATTCAAGGTCACAGGGGTCAATTGTCTTAAAAAACCTTTAAACAACTTCTTCTGAATAACTAAAATGCCCAGGGTGATGATATTTGGCCAGTAGCATGCTGGGGTAAAGGGCTATCAAGTTTGTTCAAATGAATGACCTCCACCTATATTCAAGGTCACAGGGGTCAAATATGTGAAAAACATTAAACAACTTCTTCTGAATAACCAAAATGCACAGGGTGATGATATTTGGCCAGTAGCATGCTAAGATGAAGGGCTACAAAGTTTGTTCAAATGAATGACCTTCACCCATATTCAAGGTTACAGGGGTCAAATATGTTAAAAACTTTAAACAACTTCTTCTCAATAACCAAAATGCCCAGGGTGATGATATTTGGCCTGTAGCAGGTTGGAGTAAAGGGCTATCAAGTTTGTTCAAATGAATGACCTTCACCTATATTCAAGGTCACAGGGGTTAAATATGTTAAAAACATTGAACAACTTCTTCTGTATAACTAAAAGGCACAGGGTGATGATATTTGGCCAGTAGCATGCTGGGGTAAAGGGCTATCAAGTTTGTTCAAATACATGACCTCCACCTATATTCAAGATCACAGGGGTCAAATATGTGAAAAACATTTAACAACTTCTTCTGAATAACCAAAATGCACAGGGTGATGATATTTGGCCAGTAGCATGCTAATATGAAAAGGGCTACAAAGTTTGTTCAAATGAACGACCTTCACCCATATTCAAGGTCACAGGGGTCAAATATGTTAAAAACTTTAAACAACTGCTTCTGAACAACCAAAAATGCCCAGGGTGATGATATTTAGTCAGTAGCATACTAGCATCAAGGGCTACCAAGTTTGTTTAAATGTATGACCTTGAATCATATTCAAGGTCACAAGGAGCAGATATGTTCAAAATATAAAAAAAAAATAAACAACTTGTTCTGAATAACCAAAAGGCTCAGGATGTTGATATTTAGTCAGTAGCATGCTGGGATCAAGGACTACTATGTTTGTTAAAGTGAATGACTTTGACTTATATTCAAGGTCACAGAGGTCAAATTTGTTTAAAATCTTTAAACTACCTCTTCTCAAGTTCTGAATAACCATGGGTCCCAGGATGTTGATACTTTGCAAGTTGCATCCTGAGATGAAAGGCTATAAAATTTGTTCAACATAATGACTTTGTTCATCTTTCAATCACAGGGGTGAAATGTTTAAAAAAAAATAATAGGTTCTTTTGAATGAATTTTATTCATAAATACTGATATTTTATTTTGCCTGTAGCTTTATTTTAGATCTCTTTTAAGGTTACAAGTGTGAGATTTATACCAGGTGAGCGATGCAGGCCCATTTGGCCTCTTGTTTAGATTCAAATTTGTGTCAACTTTGTGTCAATTTTGATGAATTCTGTAAATTGCTTATAATATATGCTTTTTTTATTGAAATTTGCATATCATACTAATCATTTGATAAATATTTAATTAACAGAAGCATTAACACCACTTACTAATAAAAGGGACTGTTGCCTATCTTTCATAACCAGGAAACTGGAAATCAGTGTTTAAATTAATAAATAGACCAAAAATTAAGGACTTCCCACCCTTTGTAATACACATGTTTTTTCTTGTCATATTTTCGTGTCGTCATTTCCGTATTGTGTATTACAAAGACATAAATTAACACATTGGAAGACCCTGACATAAGATCAGACGACTTCAAGGAGGTCATAAATGAGGCGCATGGAATGCAGACTGATGTGTTTTGTTTACCGACCTCATCTGTACATAGCACGTGATAACACTAGTTCACAAGCTCGGGGTCGCTACAATTTTTGTTATCGAGCGAGTAACACTCTGTCAGGTAAATCTTTTCACAAATGCAGTTTTGTAATATGTCATGCAATAAAATGCAAGTGCATGTGCGTGCAAGTGATAACGGCATACCATGCGATAGCCTACAGTTACATTTGTACCTGACATGTAAATATACCATGTGTAAGTGGGCTATGGAATGATGTTCAAAGTGTACGTGATTGAGAGTAATTTTGTTCCATAAATTAAAGAACAGTAAATTGACAATTTTAATATCATAATTTAATTTATTTCAGTCATTTTTGGTATAGTAAAGGAAACAACTGTCATGGTATAAATTTCATCCCTCTGCAAAAAGTTCCACTTTTATTTTCAAGGACAACTTTCGTCAGGATCAAAATGATTGTAAAATGTAAAATAAATGAATTATAAAGACTTTGTGTATATTTGGTTCAGTTTTTTCACTCCTTTTGTATGAAACTATGTGTCTTGTTTGCTTTTAGCATGTATATAATAACTTATATCCATACAATATCAATAAAACCACTTTGTGTAACGTGTTTCAGATATTTTATGATAAATAAGATATTTGAAGGGTTGATTAGCAATGCTTCTTTTCATTACTTTATTGTTGTAATAGTTTTGAACAATGCCACGCACTCAAAAAATGTGAAATTGTTAAATATAACAAAAAATCAATTTTCTGTATTTTTTACCAAATGGTCAAGGGAAATGATATTTTGCCAGAAGCATGCTGGGTTGGAAGACTATAAACTCTGTTCAACCTAATGTCCTTGTTCGACATTCAAGGTCACAGGCGTCATATGTTTAAATCTTTTAATAGGTTCTTATGAATCAAACACTGATATTCTGCCTGTATCTGTATTTTAGTCCACTTTTAAGATTACAAGTGTGAGACTAATACCAGGTGAGCGATGCAGGCCCATTGGGCCTCTTGTTATCCTGTGACAAGCTGTTGTGAGGTAATAAGCACATCCATATTAAATTTTACTGTAATAAGCCATTCCTTCAGTTTGAGATTATGTATTTGTCCCCTTTGCTTTTTAGGTCACCTGAGCTTTTAGCTCAAGTGACCTATTGCTATCCGTTTTCGTCCGTCGTCATCCTACCAGGTGAGCGATGCAGGCCCATTGGGCCTCTTGTTATGCTGTGACAAGCTGTTGTGAGGAAATAAGCACATCCATATTAAATTTTACTGTAATAAGCCCTTCCTTCAGTTTGAGATTATGTATTTGTCCCCTTTGCTTTTTAGGTCACCTGAGCCTTTAGCTCAAGTGACCTATTGCTATCCGTTTCCGTCCGTCGGCATCCGTCGTCCGTCGTCCGTTAATATTTTACATTTCAAACTTAAAGTCAAGTTCTGCTGGACCGATTGAACTGAAAGTTTGTAGGAACGATCGCCTCATATTAGTCCTGACAAAGTGTTGTTATTTTTCAGGTCGATCAGAAATCTATTATGGCCGCCACGGCCGCCATTTTGAAAACCTATTTCAAACTTAAAGTCAAGTTCTGCTGGGCCGATTGAACTGAAAG